TCCAGTCCCTGACATTCTGTGATTCTGTGAACGGCCGAGATGCCGGGGGATCGGGTCTAACAAGGAGGCTGTTTAGTCTGAAGAAAAGGAGGCTGAGGGAAGACCTTCTCGCTCTCTCCAACTACCCAAAAGGAGGTTGTCGAGAGGTGGGTGTTGGTCCCTTCTCTCAAGTCACAACCAACAGGACAAGAGGAAATGGCTTCAAGTTACGCCACGAGGGGTTTAGGTTAGACACTAGGAAAATCTTCTGCACTGAAAGGGTTATCAAAGGCTGGAACAGGCTGCCCAGGGAAGTGGCTAAATTGCTGTCCTTAACTGCATTTAAGAGCTGTCTAGAGGTGGTGCTCAGGGACAGTGGGTTAGAAGCAGACCTGGCAGGGTTAGGTAACAGTTGGGCTTGATCGTCTTGAAGGTCTTTTGCAACCACGACCATTCTCTGATGCTCCCACTCTGCGACATAAACCCAGGTTCCCCCGGGGTGAACCAGAGGGGAAGAGCTCTGCCACGCCTGCTCACCTGTCCCAGCCCCAGCCTCGTAACCAGACTCCTCCGTCCCATTTTCTGTTCCCCCTCCCACACGCACAGGCAGGCACATGCCGCCACGTGTGGAGACCCCCTCGTGCACCCAACGTGCATCGCGGGAGGCTCTACTCCGCTGAGGATGATGCAAGCACACCGGCAGCACCAGCAACAAATGGCACCAACAATGACAAATTTATTGCCATACATTTTCAGGAACTATCCTCTTCACGTAAATTTCTCAAAGAATATATTCTTGTATTTAAACTCTGTAACAGATTCAATCATTTGCTGTGTCCTTTAAAATCAACTAACCAGGAAAAGAGGTGAAACTCCTTTTAAAAAAAAAAAAAACCAAATCTGCCAGATACCACATCTGCACGGCCATATGGGCAACAAATCCTCACTGAGCACAGTATTCCTGGGGACCCTCTACTATCAAGTTTTGCAATGACTTATTCAGTAGAGTGTGAATATCTAGTCCCCAATTGTGTCTTCTTTCTCTCTCTCTCATTAGGTAATTCCAAAGGTCAGGTTAAACTTGCTAGTGACCAGTCCCAGCAAACAAATGCCTAAGAAAATAGTTTCCGAGATAAAACTGGCTTCACAACAAAGGAAAGAGAGGTGGGAAACGTACATATGCAGAGACTTCTGGGCCTTGGCTGCTTCTTCCTTGGAACTGTATCGGACCACAGCGTTCCCTTGGGTCAGGTTCAGGTGGAATGTTATCAGAGGGCCGTGCTGCAAACACAGGGTCCGCAGTGTGGAACCATCGATCTGGGGAGGAGGGAAGGTTAACTGCATTTTTCTGATTTTACTTTAAACGCTTGTTAACTAAACAAGTTTCAAAAGCTAACGAGTAAGTACAGGTGAAAGAAATCTCTCTAGAGCTTCCTGAGAGCCCAGCACACAGAATTTCCCAATTTAAGCGACACAAATTATATTTATCATTACAAGTCCACGGAAGCACAGAAATAAGTCAAATACAAACACATTGTTCATAAATATAACTAAATTTTCCCCAGGATTAATATGGATGTCTACATTCAGGGCTTTGTGGCTTATGTTCTTCCTTGTGAATGACACCATGTGGAGGATTTGACAGACTTAGGAGAAGAACCAAAATAAACTCCATAGGAAAAGCAGATTTCACGTCTCTATCTGCTTCGAAACATCGTTCACCTCTAAACTCACACGTACACAAATGGTGGGCACCAAATGTCTCACTAAAAGCTCGTATTTGATTTGACAGCACTTTGAAAATGTAACAAATTCCCTGTAGAGGACAGGCACTTGTAATAAACGCAGAATTATTTTCCCTTCAAATGAACCAAATGACCAAGGTTGATAAAAGCTGCTCCCATCATCCCTGAAAGGTGACGGGTCTCTTTGCACAACCAGTTCGGTCCAATTGTGCCTACCTGGGGGGTGAGGTTGCGAAGAACCAGCCAGCTGCTCGTTCTCCCTGAGCTGTCAGTACTCCATGCAGAACCTACAAGACAAATTCCACAACAAAGCATTTTACCGTGGTGAGGAGAGCGCACTACAAGAAGAAAACTTCTCTGGAATCACAACGTCCTAGCGAGAGACCCTGAAAACACATCCTGCAGCAGTTTCCTCGCATCTCAATTTCTCGTCCTCTTTGCAATGGAAGGTTGCTGAATGAGAACCTGCTTTCTCTACTTTTAAAACATTTTTTCACATTCCCCCAGCAACTATTAGAAAACCAGCGGATGCGGGTATGACTCCACAACAAACCGACTTCAGGTTACATTGGAATTAATCTGGAAGACACATTTTAACAGCCATTCAGATGGCCAAGCTTAGCAAGCGTGCTATTAACAGGTTTTTATAGCCCTGCAGCATTCTGCTGTCTTGCCAGTCACAGAGCAGCGTTCATGACTTATTCAAAACGGCTATTTCTGCATTGACAACGTTCTGACTGAAGATGCAGGGACATAACCAGCAAAATCTGCTTTTTCAACTTCAGCCTGGTGTTTTGTAAGGAGAAACTGAGCAAGCTTGATATCTGAGTGGCATTTAAGAGACTGCAGTACTTCTGTAGTCACAGGCGTGACCACACTTGGGCTCCACAGAGGATCTTGGCATCAGCAGTATCTGCCCACCAGGTGGGGTTTTGTGAAGCAAACAGATACAAAATAATAGGCCAGAGGAGAGAAGGCCATTTAATTCCCAATTTAGTGAAAGCAGATTAATAAAACAGTCAGCTTTATAAAACAGGTGTAACACCTTTGAAGCCCACAACACTTCACAAACGTAATATATACATTTAGAAAGCCATGGTTTCTAACATTTGTATTTCAGCAAAAACGACGACGTCTAAAAAAAAAGTCTGCATGAAAAAGAATTTAGACACTCAATGCCATCAGGTCCTAAGTGCTTCACACCTACGCTCTGAAAATGTGTTCCACATTAAATTCCAGGGGCTGATCTGCTCATCCTGAAGCCTCGCAGGCAGTAGTAAATCATACAACAAAACGGGAAGCATGTTTAAAAGATATTTTTAAAAATTCAGGCAACGGAAAAAACTCCTAGTTGGAGTTAAATAACTTGGCAATTCCTACATAAGATTCCCAGTGCGGCCCCCTGAAAGGTGACAGCTTCCTTTCCAGCTTAGCCTGACTAAACCGAACAGATCCAAGCTCCATCCCCCCCGCAGACACCTCTAACTGGGTGAAACCTCCAGTTTCTGGAGCCCGACCCGCAGCTCCGGGGCTCCTCGCTGCTGCGACCGAGAATAAAAGCACACGGGTACAAAGAGAAGGGGCTCGGTGTTAGAGAACGGAAGCCAAGAGTACCCGAGGAGTAGGAGCTGGTCCAGCCCAGGGGACTGGCACCCCACGTGGAGGATGGCTTGGTGTTGGTCAGGCCTGGAGGCGGTCTTGTCGGAGCAGTAGTGTTTCTGGGGACCTTCCAGAGCTCATGGGACAGAGAGGCTTGTGTGTGAGAGATTGGGCCGGAGGACCACGTAGACTTGATGTCCGACAGTTTACCTGCAAGAGAAAAAAAATAAAAATATGTTTGTGTCTTTTTAGGTAACCACAACTGCTAAGCCAAGCAGGGTGGGTACTCGTCAAGCTTCTGCATCGACCACATTCTTACAACTTTCCAAGAGAGAACAGAACAGCATTCTGTACTGTCCAGTGATACAAACCCTGCAGCCTTGGAACCTACTTTCACCGATTCTTTGCATTTGCAAAGAATTTAATATTTAATAAACCTCGTAACACCTGCTCTATATACAAGTCTCTCCTAAAAATCTCCTATTTTGCTTTCTTGTAAAAGACGATACATGAAAGAAGACCAGAAAAGGGACTTAAATATTTGAAATATGATTTCATCAAAATTATAATGAAACACTTCAAGACTGTCCCTCTCAAAGGTTTAGTAGAACTTAACCACTTCTTTACACAACTCATTTTATCCAATATAAAGTAGCCAGTATATCCATATGTTCTTCTATTATTAAAATTCCAAAGATTAGACAGCAACAAAAACTGTATTTCTGAACATTCACAGTAACAGTAAATGCCTTCGAGAGAAATGAACTCTTCAGAAGATGAGACCACATCACAACCGGTCACTCTTCGTGACTTCTTACTGCTCCGTTTGTTACTTCCCTGATCACTTTTTTAATTACTGTTCCCGCCAAATCAGAGTTTTATAAAATGATACAAATAGCAAGGATTGCAACTACGGTTTAGCAGAGTGGAAGAGAAAAGTGGTTCAACTTACGGATACCAAAACAAACCCCTTTAGACATACATATCCCTGCCTTTCTTCCTTGTACTGACACATGCTGTGAAATTAGAGTCCAATTTCCTTGTCACAGCACAGTCCCACCGTTACTAACTTTAGAATGGACTGAAATGATCGTATCACCGCGTCTGCTGCCGGAGCAAACGATACCGTGATTACGCTGCCTTAATGCTTGAAAAGAAAACACTTGGGTCTGACAAAGCCCAAGATGCAAAAATCTCAGAATTCTTTTACAACCAGATCTGAACTGGCAGATTAAGTTTATACTGAATCAGTCCTTCAAATCAGGCAGCCATGGAGGGTTTTTTTTATTAGTCCTAAAGCCAAATTTACCAGTCACCGAATCACGCCCTCGCTTATATACACACACACACACACTCCCCAAATTGTGTCTGCTTATCCATAACATTTAACTCAATGATTTTATACTGAACCATAACAATTTAAGAGAAAGGGCAACCACTCTTTCATCTTCTCGCACACTGTCGCAACAAAAATAATTTGGCAATGATGATGAAAGACATTAGCAAGGGTAAAATGGAGCTGTGTCTGAGAACTCCGGAGCGGCTCAGCCTGCAACGCAGCACATGGCACATGCACGTCACCACAGCTTAGAGGTTGCTATGTCACTACTTCTCATGGGGTTAACACAAAGATTAGATGAGGCTGCAAAAAAATAAAAAGCAAATAAAGCAGAAATGCATGGCAGATAAAAGAAAAGCAAGCCATTCCTTTCTTCTCTTTTCATTGGAGTAAAACCTTTCAAACGAGCCCTTTTCGCTCTGCATTCTGCAGTATGACCTGGAGGTTGCACCCTGCTTTAGTCCAGTGGAGGGTTTTCATTGATTAAGTATGAAAGTGCTAATACACTCCATACAACAGATGTTTATAACGGGACAAACTTGATATTTAGATAAGCTAGTTCCCAAGCAAAGTCTGCATGACTTGCAGAGAGAGATGCTCCAGAATTTATGGATCGTAAAAAAACCTAGGGGGGATAATTTTTTAGACCATTTATAAGCTCAGCCATACAGGGGAGCATCAGGCTTTGGACTGAAAGACATTTAAGAGCCCCAAGCCCAACCCCCGAGAGCCATGCAGAACACCTCCTTGAGGTGCTGCTAGATTTTTTCCTGAGCTGACGATGGTTCACTTTTAACAGTGAGTTTATCAACAAAACTTCCACATCAGCTCTTACTGGAAGGGTCTAGTGGGGGTGTTTCTGAGCTCCTAGACAACATTCCTTCTCAAAGTTGCAATGGAAACAGTCATTAAGAGATCTCGATGTCAACAGAGAGCGACAGCACATGGCACAGCACGGAATAAAGACATTTTTCCTCAGTGCAAATCCAGGCATGCACCCGACGCTTACCACCAAAGAGCTGCCAGGAGAGCTGCCTACCCAGCCCCGGACGGAAAAATACACTTCTGTCTACAGCAGGAAGAACTGGGAAAGCACTTTCCAGGGCCTTTTCTGAGAATGCAGAGGGGGGTGAGAGTAGAAAGGCCATTTGTTTCGTACCTGCAATGCTAGGTGCGGATGCAATGCTGCTGAAAGAGCTACTGTAGCCGGAGGCACTAAGCGGCCAGGCACTCGATGAAGGCAGCGTGGCATTCTGGGATGATGTTGGGGATGACCCTGCAGAACCAGCAGAGAAGCAACTAAGAAAGATGGGCATAATGATGTTTGGTGTGACACAAGCAAATCTATTATGTGCAAATACAAACCATGCAAGGCATTTTTCCTTAATCAGCCTGGTCTCTGAAGTCTAGGAATGAAATGTTATAGAGAGCATGATAAAGTGAAGCAGAAGTCTTTAGTAGAAAAGAAAGCTGGCACAGTAGCAAAATGCATTAGCGCCTGTGCAGAAGATAAATTCTGCCTTTTCTTTAAGATACATGAATCTCTCAAAAAAACAGTGCTAAAACTGTTTATTCTCAAGGAACAGGCTTAATTTGTAAAGGTGCTTTGCTGGCTGACTTAAGCAATGGCACCTGCAGATGAGCATAGATGTACATGACAAACTAACCTCGTACCATGGGTGATTTGTCCTAAATTACTCAAGGTAAGCATTTCTCCTGCATCCTAATGCTCACAAACATCTTTAGAATTTTGCAGAGTTTCAGTAAAGCAAAGATGTATTTTAGCAATCTCTTCTCAAACCGATAACGCTAAATGAAATAGCCTGAAACCATCCTGGTAAATCATTTACAGTCTAAGGAGCTACCTAAGCATACATACAATTTCCTTACTGGCAGCAAATGAAAGAAACTAAACATAAAATAAAATATTTTCATTATAAAGATGAGAAGAACTGGAAATACTCTCTCTAGCCACCAACAAAATTAAGTGTGTATGCTAGGTGACTTATCATTCCTGACATACACGGATTGACTGTGACACTGGAACATCTTTGACTAATAAAAATAGGCTGAGTTCTTTGGAAAAGAGCACTGTACTGAGGCAGAAGGGAGGAAATAAAAGGACCATCTCATCCCCTACAGCTCAATAAATAACACGGCTGTATTTTCAACCCAACAGCAACCAACTAAACTTTACCTTATCCAGACTCGCTGAGCTCCGAAGGACACCAGCACAGACATCAGTCTCCAGCACAATAACTCTCTATCAAGGCCTTAGCTGGAAATAATCTATTCCCTGGGCAGGAGCGAGGGAATTAGATGGGATTCACAGCCCACAGAGCTGAAAGCGCTCCCCATTCTACGTGGCTCAGACTTTGAGCTCAGAGTAGCTGACCCTGCAAAGCTTCATTAGCAAACCAGGTAAAACAAAAGTCAGCCTAAAAGCTTCAGTTTTGTCTGTGTCCGAGCGCACGGCGCGAGGCCAGCACACGCCACAGCCCAGTGCTTTACGCGGGGATGAGCTGTGAACACAACTCGTGTCCCTCGAAGGAGCCTCCTCCTGGCCCCGTGTCACGAGAGCCCCAGCTCGCACGGGGGGCACTGCCAGGAACAGGGCGTTTTACCCAGGAGCTAGGTTACATGAGCATAAGGAAACAGGTTATATATTATATATCTGGTTATATGAGCACAAAGAAACTGGTTCAACAACTATATATTTTTTATTAAAATAATATTAACAAGCTGAAAAGTTGATGACGAAGGGAAGCACACGTGGACCCCAAGAGGCACAGCTTTTCAGAAGGTTTTGGCTCTTGAGGGTCTGTTTCTGTCTGCAAAGATCATCTGACCCTCCCTAAGAGGTGTAGTTATTTCTTCATTCCACAGACAGATCCTACGCCCAGAGATCTATTGTACACTTTCCTTCCCTCCGTGAAGAAGGAAGACCTGTGGCAGGTATCACTAACTTACAGGTACGGCTCTGGAGGGCCAGGCCTTGGGGCTCAAGGGAGCATTTTGGGGGTGCACACAGCCCAACTGTGACTGAATTATGTCTACTTTTTCCTTTCCGTAACTTCAAACCAGCCAGGTGACCGAACCCTTGAAGCCCACTTGGGTCATTAAGTCAAGTCACTGTTACTTGTGCACACAAATACTTCCTATTTCAGCTTAACTAAAGATCGCTTTCTGGTAAGAGACAACCAAAACCCTGCAAGGCAACGAAAACTCCTGCTCCTCCTTTTCCTCCCGGTTCACATCCCCTCATCTGAGTTAACAAGCCCAGAGCTGGAAATCTGTTTCAAGGACAGTTCTATTCAGAAGCTACGCAGATATCAACGACGGGGCTACTAGGACAAAAGTCAGGTTTTAATCCCGACTGGTCCTTCGTGACAACCTGATTATTCTGTTCCTGTGCAGATCAGTGCTCTAGCAGAGCGCAGCTATCTTGCCTATTTCGACATGCTGATCACCGTTAAACCCAGCCACCTTTCCCCTGATCCACTTTCAGCACACCTAACTGAATGGCAGCACAGTCCCAATGGTTTATTGTTTGAGAGAATTCCCTTTTAATTCTGCAGTAGGCACCTCCGAAACAACACAATGGAAATGGCTCTGGGAAACACTAGTTTACTAGCCCAATCGCTACTTTTTTCTTTTCTTTGGTGGTTTTGCGGATAAACCAGCTCTAATTTATTTAGAAGTGTTACAGGTTACAAAAACTTCCAGCGACCACAGAAGTTTATATTACATCTCACAGCCTTTTCCAATATAAAAATATTTACATTCCCATGGAAGACCAGAAACTTCTTAGTCCCGTATTTACATCAAGTATTTCTGGCTTTTCAGTGAAAGTTCAGAGCAGAAGCCTTACTACATTAGGATTAGATGCAAAAGTGTATGACATCCATAACATACGAAATCAACTCTTTTGAAAAGAACAAGGAAGTATAGACAGATGTGACAGTAGTTGGCGTGTTTACCTCCACTCTTGAGCAGATAGCGATTCACATCCTGGATCGTGGTGTTTATGGTAGGCCCAGTCGGAACACTTCCAGGAGTAACATCGGGGTCATTTTCAGGATCAATATTCTGCAGTCCTTTCCATGGCACTCCTGGATGAAACTCTGTTCCAAAGAACACAAGAAGAGGAGTATATAACGTCACAACTGCCCCTAGTTCCCATGGATCAGAAGGCACCAGCCTTCAGCCGGTGAAAGGCAACAACGGGTTTTAAGGACGTGGGTTCAACACGGATGCGTTGTGTTACCTGGTGGCCAGTTTATGCTGGAGCCATTGGAAATTTTATCACTATCGGTTTTGGCACGTGACCAGCTGTGAGGAACAGCTACGGGCGGACTGGCGGGCGATTCACTGTTCTGAATCAGATCGTAGCGGCCATAGGAGTCATCAATGGAGGACTTTCCTGGAGGACCAATACTTAAACCTCCAGGTATAGCACCTGGAATGAACGAAATGGAAAGGCTTTGCTTAGGAGTGGGACTCACTTTGGGTATGAAATTCCATCAGTCTCTGTACTTTATTATTATTTTCTTTTAAAAATTAAATTTTAAAGATTAAAAAAAGAAAATTACAATATAAACACAGTGAGCAAGGCTTAACAGTTTCTGAAACCTTACGAGGCATTACGGCTGTGATACGCTGCTGGCAACACTCGAGACACTCAAGCTAAAGAAATTTGCATTACATTACTGCTAAAAAGAGAGCAAGTAATTCAAATCATGCCACCGACGGTAAGCAGGAATTTCCTGAGACAGCACGCTAAAGCAGAGCACAGCACTGCAGGGAAGCCTTCTCCTCGCCCCCACTAGATATTCCTTGCTGACGGGACGGATGATCTGAAACGGCCATTCTCGTGTTCCTACCAACTACCAAACAGCAATTTGGCATAAGAGGTACAGCTACTTGCAGAATAAAAACCTGTGAGAGAGGGTGTAATTCACGGTGCTCATAATAAAATGCAGGACACAATAAAGTTACCAGAGCACCACATTCTAACAGAATAAACATGGTACAGGAAATAAAAGAATAAATGACTCAGGATCCTGAAGGTGTCAGGGATAAAGGTGTTCAAACAGATTAGCAATCGCTTCTGGAAAAATACGAAGTTTGTGCTCCTCACTCCCAGGGTGGGTAACTGTGTAATCCATCAGGTCTCTGTCTCGGACTGGCAGTGAAAGGTTGACGATACTGGAAAAAGTGTGGGAAAAAGCCAATGGAAAGGGGTTTTTTTTGATTGAAGGGATGCAAATCTGCAGTAAGGAAAAGCTTGTGGAACTTGTTTTGCCAACACTAATGGCTTGTTTTACTTGAACTCCATGTTCTGAGCGACAAATTTCAGCAGATGGAAAAACCAAAACATTCCTAGGTTGCCTACAGAAAGCGATAGCTGCATCGCTGAATGGGACTGCAGAAATCATCTTAAAAACACCAGAGCCTCAGAGGGTGCTCTGTGCCAGCCCTCGATGAGCACTTACCAAAAACAGTACACAAGAAAAAAAAGAAATCAATCACAGTCGCAATATGACTCGAATCTCAAAAAGCCAGGCTGACAGAGAGACTAGCTGGGACGTACCGTGCTTGCTGGAGTTCTGGTCAAGCGAAGAAGCAGCACTAGACAGATTATCCATGGAGTTGGGGTGTGTCCACTGAGGAAGGCGAGACTGGGACTGAGAAGTGTCCTTCACTGACAAACCACCAGTAATGTCCATATTATTTACATTCATGTTCGGGTTCAGTCCAGCTAAGGGGAAATGGGTCATTAGATATGCAGAATATACTGGAGGATTAAAAGAAGGCTTTAAAAATCCAGCTGAAGGAATTATTCAACACTGACTTTCAGACTTCCGTATGCACGCACAGTAATTTTACTACGCACATTTTCAACTTGCTGTCAAGAACTTTTGCTCTTATGGAAACACCAGTGCAACTCCTGCAAACTCAGAAAAGGTTAAAACATTGCTGAAAGGAAAAAAAAAAATATATATTTTTTCCAGTACTTCTGGAAGAACGCACCGGAATGCTACGTTTAAACCCGTGAAGAATTTGCAGCATTCCATTCCTAATGCCTCAGGAGCACCCCCCATGCTGTGTGCATTTCAGTTGGTTGGCAACATTTTAAAAATCCCAAACAAAGCGACCAGTTAAAAGGTCATAGAAACCCCTGCTATTCGTCAGAGCAGGTACTGCACTGTTAGGGCACAGATTTTGCACCCCCAGAACAAAATCACTCTGACTATATTTAATTTTGACGTGTTTCTGTGACAGGAATCTGGGTCCTCTTTGATATATAATCCTGAATGTTGGCAGATCATAGGAAGCTGAGATACGATAAGAACCTTTAATTCATAAATTGTTTTGCCTTCTGATGCTCCTTGCTGGAACTGCTCCCCACAGCAGTCAGAATTACCTTCTTAGCTGCTGCACGGGAGATAAACCTCGGCACTTGTATTGTAGCCAGCACAAAGAGAATAAATTAATTCCTTTATGTCATAAACTAAGTCGGTAGCATACATCAAACAATCAGAGAAAACAGGTCTCAAAGGCTGCTCTGTTCACCCTGTCTCAAGGCTGAAAAGATTATTTTGACGTCCATCACATGACACATCTACGTCTAACCTACCACAAAAGACCAGCGAAGACTTCAGAAACCTCCCAGGTAATTTATTTTGTAGACTATTTTGCTTAAAGCAAATAAGCCATCTTGATGTTTAACTAGATCTCTTTTCATGCAACAAAAGTTTATCACCTCTTGAAGCAGCCACTTGCAAGAAAAGTTCTCTGAAGCTATCTTTTACATTTTTGAAGATTCCTGCATGCCTCGAGACTGAAGTGAGCAGAGGATTTCATTTTTTCTGTTGGACTCATTTTTTTTAAACATCTCATCATCTACACAACGCTCTTTGTGCATTCCTTCAAACTGATCCTTACCTCTCTTGAAATGAGACTGACCAAACTTGAAGCCTTACCAATGCTGATGAGAGTGGGAAGATGACTCTGTATGGCTTCCAATCGATATTCCTGTTTTATCAACATGACACCCGTGCATTTTACATGAAGCTGATAAATTACATTTAGCTCACAGATAATGAATTAAGCAAATCTTCTGTTCTGATATTTGCAGGTAGAGCACAGGCGAGCACATAGAGCCACCTCAAGAGGTACTAGACAGGCACGATTTTGTTTGGGCATTTCAACATCGTTTAATCAACTTGTCTTTTGTATTTCTGTATTTTTTACCCCGCGGAGCACAATACTCAGACACTGCAGTAAGGGAACACACTCCCTCTGCCTTTTTCCTGCCGAACTGCTTCAGCAAAGGGCACTTACCAAGGGGGTAAGGAGCAAAGGTGTTCGGTGAAGACTGTTGCTCTTTGGTCTGCAGGTCAGGTAGGCCGGGCGCCTGGGGATGGGGTGAAAAGCTATCCATGGCTGATTTGCCTGCAGAGGGGTGCAAAGATAGATGTGGAGGGGGAGGCTGCTGCTTCATGAGCAGGGCCTGGGCCAGCTGGCGCTGGTGCTGCTGGATCTGCTGCTGCATGTTATTGATTGTACGTGCAACCTGGCAAGAAAGAGAATCAATAAATGCTCAATTGAACAAAAAGACGGTCGATTCCTTCTGCCTTTCTCTACGCTGAAATAACCCGAGAGATCTCTTTACAAATAAAAACCGACTGTATCAAGGGTTGAAGAGCTTTCCTCCAATGGCTGAGTGCTGTGAAACAGCTTTATTACTCCAGCACTCTTTTCCCTTCGATACTCGAGCCACACACTATATTATTGTTTCTAAAGACGCTTTAGCTGCTTTGGTATAATGCAGCACAATCTCTTTAAGCTGTTGAAACCAAACTAATGGAGAGATTGAACTGGCAGGTAAACCTACTTGCTGCTCCTGTTGTCTCATGGGGCCGGAAACATTACGCTGAGCCTGTAACATCTGCTGCTGGATTTGTAAACGTTGGTACGCCTACGAGACACAAGCGAGAGGTCAGGGCTCCGAGCACACGCAGTAAGGCAAACAAGCTTGCCTGAACATCATAAAACAGGAACAACCTAAACGCTGGAAAACAGTTAATGAAAAGCAAAAGCAACAATCTTGCAAAAGGAACATAATTAAGTCCATGTTTTGTTTCGTATTTAATCAGTTGTGTCGCTTTATTCCAGAAAAAAATCCACAATTTTCGTGTGGTTAACTGGGCTGTAATTTTTTTTTCAAGGTGTTTCTCTGAAAGATGTGCATTTAAAATCTGAAGGACTTCTGCACAAGTATTTCTCAAGTAGCTGTGCACTGTTCAATTATTACCACAGCACAAGATCGGTGCCGTGCTCCTCAAAACTAGGAAACACAACCACAATCGAATAACAGCATCCAACACGGTGACTAATAAAAGAGTTTGATTAGCACAACTGAGCTAGTCAGCAACTAAGCTAGTCTGTCATCCTCAATTTTATGCTTAACCCTAAGCAAATAGTAGCTTACTGTTAGCAGTCTCTCTTTTAAAAATATTCACAAAATACAATTAAATATTTTCATACATATACGTATATAAACGTATCAGTTGCACACCTTGGCATGGCACGCAGTCCACAGAGCAGAGCTGTTTGAGAATACACTATGTTGCTCATACCAGTATGAAGACAAACTGACTTTTTAGTTCCACTGATCAGCTGTAAAGGATATTTATTCCACAAATGACTATTTATAAAGTCTGAGGCAAACGCCATGATTTCTTTTCTTTAAAAAGAAACCCTACCAAAGAAATCAGCATCTGTTTTAAATATCTGTCCATTAAAAAATTTAGTTAGCTATTCTCTTATTTTATCTTGATGCTTCCAATTCTGATTTAGAGCTTATTTGCCACGTCTTTTAACTTACCAGCTGCAGCTGATAGAGCTGGTTCAACATCGTCATATGCTGAGGATTATTAATTGGCGAGGTTAACTGTGCAGGGCTGAGACCAATGTTTTTTGCTGCAAACTGCAAAAGCTGTGCTTGAACCTAAGAGTGAGCAGAGAATTAAACATTGTACTTTTAACACTGGCAACTGTGTGAGCCATTAATAAGAGTCACAAGACATCAGCTGGAAAATATTACTATTACCAGAAGTAGTGCTGTGAGCTACCAAAAAAACCAACAAGAGGCTCAAATGCAAATCAGAATTAAACGACCATTTATAGCCAAAGAGCTGAGAACGACCTCCTTAGCTCTCTGGAAAGGTTCCTTTTTGCAAAAAGGAACACACGGATGTGCCCACACAGAAAACGTACAGAATATGCACGTGGGACCACCTTACCCGAGTGTAACACGGTTACTGGCTAGTAAAGAAACCAACAGAGCCCGGCAACGGGAGCTGCAAAGCCTGAGGAGAGCGACAGGAGGTGTACGGAGAGGAAAGCGTGTACGGAAGAGTTCCAGGGAAAGCGACAGCTCTGGGGTGGAAGGGTCAGCTAACCTGAGGGGATAGAAACTGAGGCACTTGAGCACGAAGACTAGGCTGGGATGAATTAAGAGGTTGCACTGGCGGTTGCTGCGGCTGTTGCATGGTCCTGGCTTGTGCTGCTCCGCTATTGCCAAACATACCCAGATTGCCACTCGGTATCTGCAGCGGGACAAGACAGACATCAGCATTTAAAGGCATCGCTCAACGAGTAACCTGGGAGTGACTTGTCTGAGCGATCTATCCTCTGTGATTACGACAGGCACGGATAAAGAAACCAGTGCACACTGACTGGACTGACAAGCAGTTTTAGACTCAGGCTCAGCAAAGATCGCCGCGGACCCGCCATCCCAAACCTCCAAAACTTTGTACAGATGCCTGAGCAGAAGGTAGCCGAGGGTGAAGATTGCTTTTATAAAGCTATGAGGATGAATAAACCTAGAGGGTCACGAGAGGGATAATGAAAAGCACTCTCCAAAAATGTTTGCATTTGTGCAGCAAGGGACAGGAGAACGGCGTCATTAACCTCCCGGCACACCAATTCTTAAATTAGCCTGGCAGTTTTCATACTTGGTCGTTTTACAAAGCTACTGATAATAGACATGCTGTTAGTGCAGTCTCCATTTCCAAATGACACGCTTCATGAGCTGTAAGCGCTGGACAAGTATTGCCTTTAGAAAACCAACTTTAAAAGAATATGCACAATAAAAGCCACTGCGGAATGATACATCAAATTTCTCTGCGTTGTTATTTCTTATGTTTGCTGGAACTTCAATTTGTGCGGCAAAACCAACCTTTACATAAACAACAGGAGTTTACGGCCTCTCCACCTCACGGCGTTTATCAGTCGCACCCTCCATCTCCTTTGCCTTTTCTCTCCCTCTCAGCCCACTCTCCCAGTGGCCGTGCCCCGCGCCGCAGCGCTCTCTGACCAGGGGTGCCGGGGCTCGGCCTCTTTCCTACCACCTGCCAAAGCTATGAGCTGTCCTTTTTATAAAAAGTCACTTCTCACCCATCTCAGCACTGAACACTCACGCCAGGCAGGAAAGGCGAATTAGAGCCATGGCTCAGAAGAAGAAACCTCACGTCAATCCAGGCAGAGCTATGACAGGATTCAGGGGCATATATTTGAGCCTCTTCTCAATGGATGCATATAATTAGCAGGCTAATTACAACCTAGCAGTCGCACAGCAGGTATTTTCTCCACTGATATTTCACGTGGACAAAGGTGTCGCGTGCCCTTTCAGTTTAAGCCACTGTTTTCCCCCGGGGAAGCGAGAGGCACTAGCAGAGAGTCCGAGAGCGCTGAAATTCAACTTGGGATCTCCCCCCAACAGCCTTACCTGTCGAGAAGAATTCAAGTTTTGCATGCCCAGCCCTGAGGCAATCCCGCCCAGGGTCTGATTAGGGAGTGCACTGTTTGAAAGGGGGAGCTTCAGGCTTGGTGAAGGCAAAAATGGTGAAGTAGTGGGCTCTTCCACTAGGCCGCCATCCTGATTGGAGAAAGAAAGGGTGAGCTGCGTGCGGCGCCAGGAGCGGAGCGCGCGGCACAGCGCCCGCGGACGTACGACAGGGCACGGATGAATGAAAATATTTAAAAGAAAAATTAAAAAAATAATAATAATTAAAAAAATTAAAAGAAAAAAGACATGAGTAAGGGAATGAAAAGTATGGAGTGAAGGGAGAAGAAAGAGAGAAATAGGATTAAGGTACTGTTTTTTTTACTTTGTCACACTTAATCCACAAATGCCCACTCGCCCTCACCCACCTCCGGAGAGGAGAGGAGGGATTCTCGGGGAGCCATCTCCTCCTCCCCCCTTAGGGCTTCTCTTCTCTTCCCCACCAGACTCAAGGGTGGGCAGGGAAGAGACCCAGCACGTCACTGCAAAGTCTTCTGCCAGTTCGCTAAACTCGGGGCAGCGGAGCACAGAAATGCGACGTTCTGCTTTTGCCTAACCCAGAACTTGGGAAAAGCCAGATCAGCTTATTTGCTATCAGTCTGCATTTGGTTCCACATCACAGCTCTGGCCTTCAAAAAACCATTTTTCACATTAATCCCCTTTCCTGAGACACATGAGCCTCTTTTAATATTCACACAGCACTGAGTTATTATTATCCACTACGAAGCGTTACACTCCAACACACCCAACAAACACAAAAAGACTTAAAACCTGTAACGACAATGTTGTCCTTCCTAGGAAAGCGATTAAGGCACCGCCTGAATATCGCCCAGGAGGAGGCAGATTTTGGCAAGACCCTGACAGCCGGGCTATAAGGAGCCACGGCAGAACATGGGTACGAGGCACAGACGGCAGCCCCCACGGGGGGCAAACAGCGAGCCAGAAGAGAAAATAAATCATATAATCCCCAATCAAACAGGTAGATATCTAGCTAGCATTACAGGGCGGTACTGAGCTCTGTCTCAGACGGCGCTTTGATGTCTGGGAAGCCTGCGGCAAGCACGATCAAATAACACTGTGTACGAAGTGCAGCTCCAAACCCAGGCAGGGTGAGAAATCTTTAATTTGCAATGTGCTGGACTGCTGTTTTTCAGGCAATATATTCATTGCAAAGAAAGGCTTTTAAATAGGTGAGGAGCTAGGTTACTTCAAGTGATAAATTCAATGCCCCAGAAGATTCTGAGATACTGATAAACCCCCTTTGTTAAATGAAAGCAGCCCAGTCTCCTAAGCAGATACCCAAAACAAATGACTTAATGCAGCGAGCAAGCTCGGTAAATTTTATGTTCTAAGTTAATCCTGAAAAAATGCATTTTCAACAGTTCTCCTTTGATGCAAAGAAAAAGTTTCTTTGCTATCAGGCAAAGTGACACTTGACATGCTATCTGACTCTCCTGAGGGGGGACACTGACATTTTCTAATGACATCCCCAAGGCCTTTCAGCTCAAGATATTTTACATTCTCTTGGACATCAGTCACACTCCACAAACAACTGCAGCTTGCATGACAGTAACAGGTTCAAGGATTTCTCCTTAGATCACAGACATATGTTTACAATTCTACCCTTCCCCCTCTAAAGCGAAAATAATTCCAAGCTTCGTGCCCGCTCCCCCTTTCAGATGCAGCTCTTCCCTATGCCAATGGACCTATTGACCATGCAAGACCAATTCCATCGCTCCCTGCCCCCAAAATTTACCCAAATCTTCTCTCATTGACATTATTTTTCCTCATTTTTTGACACCAGGCAGCACCAGGGGTGGGGGAGGACAAGCCACACTTGCTGCGAGGCCGCCTTCACAAGCGTGTTCCCTGGCTGAGCTGCAGAAATGTCGTTTACAGCAAGTTTATAACACATTGTTCACATTCACTTTGCTCTGCTTTATTATTTTTTTAATTGGAACTTGTCTTAGCGTGCCATCTGTGCTCTGCAAGTGGAACTGAAATCAATTCATTTAACATAAAGTATTTCAGTTGGTCAACACTAAGTACTTGGTGGCTGTTGTCAGCCTAGACTAGGTGATACCTCTACTGCTGACAGCGGCCTGTGACCCAGGATTTTCCAGGCTCTTTTACACACTAATTGTTTCCCGAAGAACAATCTTTTCTACCACTCAACCTCTCCTCTTCAGCGATTTTCTCAAAAATTCACATTGCGTTTCCTCCTCAGGCTAGTTAATTAAACAAACGCCCCGCATCCAAATCGGCAAAACCGTGCTCAGGCCAGCGCTGCTTTTAACTTTTCTTGAAGGGACTTGACACAACTGTAAAATCCCATCTCCTCCTGCAGTTATCCAACACACACCAACACACTGGTGGCTCAGAGATACCCTCCTTCAAGGACTTCGGATTCTCTCACAATAGCCTCATGTACCAAATATGACAGAATGCAAGTGGAACTACTCAAAGATTATTTTTTTTTAACTCTGTGAGATGTGGACAATTTAACAGAGGATTCCTGGACACTTTAGCAGTCACCTGCCAAAAACTGCCACTTCACAAATCAAAATGTCCCAACAGACAGATGCAAGACGGAGGAATTTGCCACAGGTCTTTATATAAAGTCAGTTACAGAAGTAGTCACTAGAAAACACACATTGCAGCTTCTTGAAACAAAAAAAGAACCCAACTTTTTCAAAAGACGAATAAAATCTCATCTAAAGTGAGTTCTCTTCAAATCTGATACGAGTTAGATAGAGGCAAAAGAAACTTGTAAAAAATGCAATACTCAAAAGTATTCAGCATTTGGTACTTTTAGTTTTGAAAACACAAGAATATGACAGATGTTTCAAAATTTGGAAGTTCGGAAAAGAAACAATCACGGGATGATACAAATCAGACATGGAGAAAAGAAGAATTTGAAAATTAACCCTAAAATTCTAGTGGTCATCATCTAACTGCAAGGCCTACGAAAGTGTTTCTGCATAATACAATAGTCTATTCGTTATCCCAAAGACAAAAACCAGCCACAACCATGAGAGACAATTGGGATCAGAGGTGGGGAAAAACCTCAACAAACCCTATGGTTGAATTAGAAACCAGGAAAAGTCTAGTCCACATCTTTTTGGAAGAACCTGATGGCATCCAACAGGCATCAACATCAAGACTTACAGATGTGGAATTCTCAATAGTGGAGAGGAAGAGCTGATCAGTGAATAAGACGGTAGCGAAAAGGAAAATTAACAAGTTTCCTTAACAAGACGAACACATGAAAGCCAACACTGAAAGGTGATGTTTAGTTGCAGAGATTATTCCAGACAGAGAAGGGTGGTCAATGGGTCCAGAATCAAATGCCAAGTCTGGAAATTTCCTCTCCTCAAATGCATAAGGTTAAAACAAAAATAAGTAAGTGCTGGCTTTACCTGTCACAGAAAACACAGGAGAGAAATTACCGAGTTTCAACTCAGGTGAACTGAGAGAATCAGCTAGCAATGAGCACACTGACCCGACTTATAATTTCATTAAGAGGAACCTTGCATAACTGACTGAAGAGCCAGCAAAGCCAAGCAAAAGGATAATGACTTGATAAGACAATAAGTAAAATAAGGCACAGTGGGTGGAGGGCTCTGGGCAGCTGTGCAGAGCTTGGACACCGACCAAGGGCGACCTGAGCAGGAAGCGAGACAGCTCCGGCCTCAAGCTCTGAAACAGCCCATCAGAGGGCAAAAGGGTTTTGGAGGAGTTACCCCAGTAGCATGAGCTGTGAATGCGGCGAGAATTTCTTTGGAAAAAGTACCTGCTCTTAGAGCAGAAACTCTATTTGTTGAATTCACTTCGGAAGTTGCTCAACACTCTGATCGCTAACAAATAGAGTTTGGGATTATTTCCTTTGTTATCGTAAAGTCACTGTGACAGATTATGCCTAGACTGACAGATTTTACTGGTTGCATGAATATTAATGACCTTAGAACTCCCTTCTCAATAGTCATGTTTAACATATGTTTCCATAATTATGTATCACGCTGCACATAATCCATCTCTCTCTCTGGCAGTAATTTTACTGCTCAGGATAGTGTTACCTTAGAAAAGAAAAGGTTAACTGGAACGCACACATGAATTTTGTGACCTTCACCGGGAAAGGCATCTTTCAATTAACATATTCATTAAAGTTTGCCATAAGCAAATAGATTTAGCATCGTTAAGAACGAACTGTACACGCCAGGAAGAGGAAGAGAAGGAAGACGAGCCGGGTTGAGCCTTGTGTTGTAGGAAATGAGACAAACACTTTAGCCTGGGCTAGAGGACACCACATCATTCTGGTATAAGTAGGCAGCCCAGAAAGAACAAATGTTTTATTTCCTCTGAAACCAGAAAAGCACTTTTCTAATACTTAATCTCTAGGGAAAATTGCCATGATACTAGATTGCACAGCGCTGTGGCAGCATTTGAACTTTTGGTATGTAAGGACCCTCTCAGGCAGATTTTATACAGATGCTGATTTTTCCTTACTCATATAAACAACCCATAATTATGTAAGATGCATTTGTGTTTAATCAAATTAACTTGTTTACAGTTTGCATCACAGCAGCACTAAAATGCAGCAAACTGTTTAGACTGTGCTGACAGCAGAAACAGTAACAGTTGTCATTAAGAGGTCAGTAT